AATTTAAAAACAAAGATTGATGATACAGAACAAGATCCAATGCAATTAATTAAAATCACTACCTTTTTATCATCTATCATCATAAAAATGGCTTTTAGGAGATCTAAGATTTGGTTTACAAATTTATTTGCAAGTTTATGCAGAAGACCCCAATTCTTAGGATCACTTCAGTTGATATTATGTTCACTTCATGTAATATCACATACTGAAGATCATGAACATTGTTTGGAAATAAAAAGAATGGAAAAGGTTGATCCTAAATCTAGAATTATAAGTGATCCTAATATTTGGCCATTAGTGGTCATAGATAATTTAGATACAAAACAAAAAACATTCAAGCATAATAATTATTATAATGAAGGAAGAACATCATTCCATGTTGTACTTAGAATATGCTTTTTTTTTATTCTTCCTTTACCTATTTGTGAAATTGTTGGTGAAGAATCAATGATTTATGAAAAAAAAACCATATTTGTATTTAATCAATTTTCTTCTGAAAAAATAAAACTCTTTGAGGATGTTTTTAAAAAATTATTACCTCATTAAGTGGTGCAAGTTTTAATAAAGTTGATCTATCAAGAAATCATTAAACATATTCCAAAAGGAATATTGGTACCACCACCAAAAGTTGTGATTTTAGAAGCAGGTGGAAAGCCTGATGATGATCAAGGCATTTATGAATCAATTGAAATGTTTCTGGATGAAATTAATACAGCTGATGGTTTTTTGGATATTCAGAAGGATTATAAATTACAAAAAAATCATAAATCCTGATATTCATATTCATCATATTCTGGGCCAATGGCACACTTAATTTAGCAAAAGCTTTTGGTGCTAAATACTTGGCCAGGCTGTTGGAATTGATTTGGGTAGGAGTAGGCATGGCTTTAAGTATTTTTACAACTAAACATCAAGTATCTATTGATGAGCTTTTAGAGAATCCTCCAAATAGTTTCATTAAAGTATGGATTTTGTACTGAAGGTGGTCGAGTTTATTGAGGTTTCATAAATTAGGTATCAGAATAGGAAATTGGGATTTTCAAATAGAAAGTTTAAGAGCATTTGGTCCCTTGCTTCCTGTTGCAGGCAAAGTGAATTATGCAACATCAGTTTGTCATTTTTTAGCTATGATTGATAAGGATACTCAATTTGATACCATTTTAAGAACTGTTTCTTCAATTAATTTAACAAGACCTGATCATTATCTTGGGTTTGATGAAGCTTTGGAAACTTATGGTGTTAAATTTGTCAAACAATTCCTTACAAAATCACTAGCAGGTAAAGAATCACTTAAATTACAAATAAATTCTGTACAAGATGAGAAAGAGCGACTGAACTCTTTTCTTTTTGAATTTGTAGATTCCAAAAAAAAAAATCCAGGGAAATACACAAAGTAAATTCACTTAAAGAACCATTGTGGAAATTAACAACAGATTTATTAGATCTGTTTGAAAATTTTAATTCAAATATGACTCATCATTTAATTGAAAAGGTACCTGAGTTAACAACTGATGGTTTTAATTCACTTTTCAATAGTTATGATATTGGTAAAAGAAGGATGGAAACCCTATTGAACCAAGAAGTTTATGGAACTGAAGAGATAAATACAATTAGTCGTAGATCAACAAATGTAAAAGTATATAAATATGAAAAACTTGTTGAAATTTATTCAAAAAAAAAAGAGAAAGGAAAAGCTTGTGATCTAGAAGAAAATATAGAAGCAACTGAAAGACCATCTAATTTTAATAATAATCCTATTGATCTTTCTGTTCCAATTGAAGAAGGTGAAAGTAGTAATAAGAGACGAAGAACAACAGAACATGAGCATTCCATCCTGGATCCTCTTGTTGAAATGGATACTAAACCAACCAAGGATCAAATTAACAGAGCAATTGAGAAAACAAGGTGGGATAGAAAAAAAGTTCTAGGTTATGTTAATAAACAGGAAAAAAAAACATTTTATTTTAAAATAGATTTTTTTATTTTATATTTTTATTTATCACAAATAATAAATAGGCATTTCACTTTTTTTTTAATAAAAAATTGCTATACAGTACACACTCTCTATAATGGATCATTGGGACCAAAAAAATTTATCTGTTATTATTATCATCTAATTATTATCATTACTATTATTGTTATTATTATTATTGTTATTAGAAATTTTTGCCGCACCAAAATTGAATAAAAAAAAGATTTATTGTTACTATTGTTATTATTGTTATTATTGTTATTATTATTATTATTATTAATTATTATTATTGTTATTATTATTATTATTATGAAAGTATATAAAATAATAATGTACATTAATATTAAATATGTATATAAAAATTCATTATTGAAGCTTAAAATATTAACATATAAACAAAAATATTAATTACAAAAAAAAAAAATATTAATAACATAATCCTCTACGTGTTTCTACATCTGAATCTGCTAATTCACTACTTCTTGTTCTTAGCTCTTCGATTTGTTCCATCAATCCTGCTATCAATTCCTTATCAACCTCGCCATCTTTTTTTGCTTCTTCTCTTATCTCTCCTTCAAGTTCACCTAATAATTCACTCAACACTTGTTCCGGGAACATTTGTCCGTATGTTGCCCCAAAAAAATGTGATAATTTACGTATACCTCTTAATCGTAATTGTTTATGTTTTAAGTGTTGATGTGATTGTGTTGATTCTAAGTCAAAATCCATCGTTAAAGAGGTTTCTGATGGTGTAGCTGGCGCAGAAGAAGATATAATATTTAAATCATAATCTTCTTCAATTTCCAACGAATCTCGTTGGTTTTCTTTTTCATTGTCTGACATATAATCAATCAAATCGTAAATTGTTTCTCTATCATTTTCCATCAAATATTCAAGCGACATAATGCTTTTACGATGAATATCTAAACTGGATATCGAATCATGTTTGGATCTTGATTGTGAAGATGTTGTCAATAAAAGATCTTGTGGCGGTATTTCCCCAAACAATTTTTCTAATTTTACTGCTCTTTGTAAATGTCGCTTTTTATCTAATGGTGATAACTTTGTAGCAATATTGTTATTATTAAAATTCAATTGTTGTTCTTGTTGCTGTTGCTGGTTTTGTTGATCCTTATGAGAATAATCACCATTCAGTGAATTTTTTTTGTATGATGATAATGGTGGAGGCCTATGTTTTTTACTTTTGGGTTTAACTGCTAATTTTAATTCGCCTGCTGGTGGTGGCAGATAAATCGAAGAATCTTTTTCTCCCAATACAATATCTATAGGTACTCTTTCACCTAAAAATTGGTGAAGTTTTTGCAATTTTTTTCTTCTATATTCCTTCGTGTCTTTGTCAATAACAATCAATGGAATATTGAATCTATTCAAAGGATCATTTAGATCATTATCAATTGTGCTTGTTTTATAATGTTTGTTTTCGTGTGGGCTTTTTGGTGAAGTTGCCATCGTTACTTTTGGATTATTGCAATTATTGTTTTTGTCATTGTTATTAGTGTTAGGTGTAGTAGATGTAATCATTGAGTCTGATGCACGTCTACTAATACGTTGCTTGATGTATGATCCCGCGTTGCTAATTCTATTGCGGCCCTCGTATTGATAATTCACCGAAAGTCTATCCGCTTCAAAATACCTTTCTTGACAAGGCGAAGTGCTAGGAGTTGATTGAATTAATGGAAGTTTTAGAGCATGTTTAACCATATTTTCATCTAAAGCTTCTCCGAGCATTATTTGCAATTTCCTATTTTTTTTCAATAAAATCCTTCTATCTTTTGTACTCAATTCATTCGTTGTTTGTAAATTAAAATTATTATTATCACTGTTATTGTTAATGAATAAATTGGCTCCATCGTCATTATCATCATTACCATAATGATGATTATTATGAATATTAGTATTAATTCTTGATAATTCAGTCAGAGCAGCTCTAGAATTTTCTTTATCTTTTATTAAATTTTGCGAATAAAGTTGAGAATCTCTCAATCCTTTTCCAAAAATTGCTTCCAACTTATCAACTTTCTTCTTTCTGTTCCAAGCTTCTTTTGTTGATTTCTTATTTTCAGATATTGTTGAATATACACTTCTTTTATCATCATCATCACCAAAACTTAATTTACCATCGCCATAAAGATTTCCATCTGGTAATACAACAACTTGATCTTCCGTCTTCTTAACCTTTTCACCAAATAGCCATTTAAGTTTTTTCTCCTTTTTGATCCTTCTCATTTTTTGTGCATTTGTCATTATATTTTCTAAATCAAAATAACCACTTATTGTTGAAACGGAATCATCTGTAACTGATTGGCTGTATTCTTGTTCGGCTCGCTTTCCTGTATTGTCAAGGAGAACAGTATCAGGGAAATATTGAGATAAAATGGAATGAAGCGTTTGTTCTTTATAATGATGTGACATTGGTGGTTGATCTGTACCATTATCAAGAGTCGTGGTAACAGCAAGCATAAGTGACATGCTTGGTCGAAAATAATTTTCAAGCTTTGCTGTCATTTCATGATTTTGATATCTTTCAGGTTCTTGCATTTTTATTTGTTCACATTCTTTCCATTCGGAACTATTCTCATATCTGACGAAAGTATGACCTTTCATTAATTGATAAACAGCTTCTTGCGCCTCGTCAAAAATATTCCTTTCTACATCAGAATCATCATCTATTGGCCAAGGAATATCTTTTCTTATCTCGTCACTAAGATTAACTTGTAATGGTGCGTTTGGACTAATGTAAGTTAAATAAATATATTTTGCATATATGACAGCAGTTTGTTGTTCTTCAAAGTAATTATCTTCAATCTCACAAGAAATGCCTGCTGCAAAAAGTTCTACATCTAACCAAAATAATAAGTTTTCTACGGAAAATTCACGAATAGCAAACTTTTGAAAATATTTAATAGCAAGTGTATTAGAAAGTACAGATTGAAAAAGAGCTTCGGATCCTTGAGTATAGTTTAGAGAATTATGGGACATGGCAGCTGAAGAACTTGATGTATCATTTGTAGTTGATTCAGTTGTAGAAAACATAGGAAGCGATGGTAAATGATGAGAATTTTGAAGAGGTAGATTATTGATATTATTATTATCATCATTGACATTTTTCTCGACGTCAATGTCATCATTGTCGTTGTCATTACTATCATTATCATTAATTGACTCATCAACGATGTTTTCTGTTTGATTATTTTGTGAAATAGGTAAATTAAATCTTTTGCTTTCTCTTGATCTTGATTTTAAGGATAAATCTGATGATAATAAAGATATATTTTCAAAGATGTATCCAAAACTTTTGAAATCGCAATCCTCTTCATCTTCAGCATCTTCAGCATCTTCAGCATCTTCAACACCTTCAACACCTTCAACACCTTCAACATCTTCAACACCTTCAACACCTTCAACACCTTCAACACCTTCAAAATCTTCAAGTGCAATAATGGTTTTATGATTATAACCTTTTAAAAAGTTTAAGAAAATTATTGATTAAAAAATAAACAAAAATTTATTTTTTATATACTTTAATTAATGATATTTAAATACCTTCATAGATATTAAGCACATTAACAACATCACCATGCTCTAAAACATCGCCTACAAAATCTCTAAAACGTAAAGCAACCATACTAACATCATATAATAATCCAACCTCCAATGGTTCATATAACCCATTATGCTCAATTCCGCCATATTTAAATGCGTATTCAGCTTCTATTTGTCTTGCTAATCTTTCCACTGTATAAGTTTTTTCAACCGTTACAGGAAAAGAAATCGAAGAAGAAACGTTTGCAATTATTTGTAAAAAGGAAGAAATATGTTGAATAGTCCTTGATAAACGTTTTTTGTGAATATGCTTGAATTGGTGAACAGATCTGATTGATGGAGAGGATGAAGGTGACGACGTTGAATTATAAACATTGCTGCTTTTAATGAATTCGGCTGTTTGATTAGATGATAAAGATGATGACGACGATGGTTCGACATCATTATTGTTGCTGTTGATATTTATTAAAGGTTTTGTATAAAATGTTTCTTGATTATTTTGTGATTTGATACTTAAATGTTCTATCGACTTGAATTTACTATTGTTATCTTTAACACTATATACACGACGATGATTCTGATTTGAGGGGGGAGAAGGGGAGGAGGAGGAGGAAGAATTTTGTACTCGACTAAAATAAGAAGCAGGAAGAGAGGAATTTCTGAGGTGCACCATGACATTCCTTCTTGCAACACGTATCGAAGTATTGTTACTTGAGGTTGCAGTAAAATTATTACTATATGACAGTACGATGTTTTCAGTAGCCAGCTGATCCATTATTGTTATTAAAAATTTAATATGATAATAAATGCATATAATGAAATTAAATCAAATTTGTCTAATCAAAAAATAAAAAAGTCTTTTTAAAAGAATGAAATTATTAAATATTAACAAAGAAAAAGGTTCACAAAAATGAAATTTAAATTACTAAAAAATTTTCTTCTTTTTGAGAAAATAAATGTATTACACAATATTAATTCGTTATAGTGAATATCGTTACAACGAATAAATTAATTCCTAATTCATATTATTGGATGATTTGAATGAATGATTGAAACATTTACATCATACTTTTTTTTTTTTTTTTTATAAAGAAAATTTTTTCTAAATAAACAGTTAATACTCGTTTTGAAAAAAAAAAAACCAAATTACAAAAAGAACAATATATTTTTTCTCTCAAAACTAATCATCTTTTAACCAATCACAAATTTACTTGAAAAAATCTTTTTTAACAACAAAAGATTTAAAAGATGCCAAACGTTACCTCAACCATACCTGTCCAAGACGTTAACACCAATAACCCCCCTACTCCCACCTCTAAATCTAAAAAAAATAAGAAAAATAAAAATAAAAATTTGGCTGTTAACACAGAAAAATCTAACAGTAATGGTTCAATTCAAGAACAGTTCTCACCAATTACTCCTGCCACCACCGAAAACAGCGAACTTGAAAACGTTAACAAAAACCCTTACATGGAGGTAATTTATAAAAGATTAAGAGCTATGAGAAAGCGCATGGTATGTTATTATATTTCTTCTATATATATATGAATACAAATCGGGTAAATCAGATAATAGTAATTGTGGTATAATAACAACAATGATATATATATGGATTTGGATATGGATATGGATATGTGTATATGATTGTTTGTTATTTAACATTTATTATATTTTGTGTATAACATGATATTTTTAACAAAGAATAATATTCTAAATATATATTGTTAAAAAATACCTATTTATCTGTTTATAATATATACGAATAGGTCAGAGTTGAAAAATATGAAGAAATTGCTAATTCTACTCCTGATGGTAAAAATCAATTAAATGCCGATCAACTTAATTCACTCGAAAAAAAAGGTGAACTTGCTGCAGTGATTAAACAATCCGAAGATATTTTGAAATCAATGGAAGCTGTTGATAAAGAGGTTAACTGCCGTTAATAAAATTTTATATATGTGCATGTATATGTATAAATGTATATGATTGAAAAATATTTTTAATTGACATCTTTCTTTTAAAAATAATACATGAACAGGAGGTCAAAAAAGAAAAGGCACAAAAAAAGGCACAACAAGAAGAAAATGAAAAGGCCATTTCTAATGCAATCAAAGAAGCAAAGGTAATTATTAACCTTTTATGGACTTTTCTTTTTTCTTTTTAACCTCATCTATACTAATTAACAATTTAAATTAAATTTGTTGATTTTTAATGCTTATGAATATATTAGAATGAACACACCGAATCCATCATATTTCTTCTTGATTTTTTCCGATTGGTCCACTTCCAACAATTAAACATCGTTCAATTATCAGAATTGGAATCAGAAGTGGTTGAAACGCTTCGTGCTAAACTTACTACAATGGCTGAAGAAGCCAAAAACGAAGAGTTGAAAGATCAACGTGTCAAAGATATTTTGGATAATGTTAATAAGTTACAACATAGCGATGAAAATATTATTATGAATTTGTTTACAAATAGTATCGTCGTACAAGATTCTAACAATAAAAATGAGAATGATAATAACAACTTGGAACAAGAAATAACTTGTAAGCTCCTTTTTTTTTGTTTAAAATTAAATAATATGATATATACATATGTCGATTAATTGCTAATCCTAAAATTTTTTAATAGACTCTCGTGTTAGATCATTGATACAAAGTCCACCAATATTAGAAACCACTGAAGTCCAGCTTGAACAAGAAGATATTGACGATGACACAAATAACAACATTAACCAAGAAGAATTTGTCATCATCAACAAAGAAACAGAAAATAATGCTGGTTTGCTATCTCTCTATATATATATATACACACACACACACACATATATATAATTATCGATATACTAATTTAAAATTTTCACTTTCAAAGATAATAGCACATCTAATATCAATAAAAGTGATTTAGATCAAGGTACAATAATTTTATTTTATATTATACGGTTGTTTATTAATAAAATGAAATCTTAACGATTATTAATTCTAATAGATGAAAAATTGCAAATCCAACCAGAAATAGAAACATCAATCGAAGAAACTTCACAAAATCAAACTGTTCAAGAAAGTGTTCGGCTAGCAGCTGATGATGTAACCGATACTATAGCAGCTGCACGATTAAATCAAACTGCTGAAATAGAACATCAAGCATCATCACCACCACCACCACAAATATCACAGCAATTTCATTACCCTGAACAAAATCCCATTGAACAATCAAATCAACACGATGATGATACAAATTTAACCCAACAACAACCGTCAAATGTCGACGTAGTTACAAATGATGATAATAATCAGCAAATCTCACAAGAACAATCAGTCACAACATCTCAAGAATACGTTATTCAACCAACTCAAATTTCAAACGACGAAAATTTAACTCAATCGATAACAGAGCCTATATCTACTATACCTACATCTGTAACTGATACACAACAACAATCACCGCCAATAGTATTATCACAACAACAACAAACCTTTGAATCTGAATCACAAAACCAACAACCATCCAAACCGCAAATAAGACAATTCGTATCCAAACAACTTGGCGATACTCAACCCCCACCATTAACACCAAGAAATCAAGGTAATTCAAATAGAGGTTACCGCCCAGCTTACCGCAATAATAGTAATCGCACCAGTGGTAACAATAACAGTGGTGGCAATAACAACGGTGGATATAATAATAATAGAGGAGGAGGCCAAAGTCAAAGAAGGGATAGCGGTAGTTATAATAGTGGAAGTTACAACAACAGCAATTATAATAACAGCAATTATAATAATGGTGGTTACAATAATGGCGGCTATCATGGTGGTCCTCGTGGTGGTGGTGGTGGTGGTGGTAATGGAGTTGGGCCTCGTGGTGGAAGAGGTTAGTTTTTTCTATAAAAAAAAAACTTGATGATATTTATTAGTTTGTATTAATAATGTTTGTTTATTTTTTAATTATATATTATTGAAAACAGGATCACGCAACGGATCATTTAAACCACGTCCGCAATAATTATATATATAAATATTGTAAATACAAAAAAAATTATTTCTTTCTTTACATCTAAAGTGATAAAAGTTTTAGATACTTCAAAAAAAATTTTTTTCCAAAAAAACCAAACGAACAATTTCCTATTTTAATTTCTTTTTTTTAAAAAAATCTATCTTTTATATATATATATATATATATATATATATATATATATATATTAATATATTTATATTTATTTATATTTATATACATAATTTTCTTTTAAATATATATATATAAAATAATGTAAAAATCCTTTTTTGTTAAATAATTGTCGATTGGTTTTTTTTAATTTTAATAAAAATTTTTTTTAAAAATAGTTGATATACAAAGGACTTTTTTTAAGACAAGGTAGATAAAATAAATTTTACAAACTTAATCAGCATAGACCTCAATAATAATAACTTAATCAATCAATATATTGCTTTGTTTTGTGATAGATGAATCAAGATAATAAATCCTTTTTCATATATATGTATATATAAAAGATTGATTTTTATTTACAATTCAAACTTATATTTATAATCTATATATATAATAATGTTCAAATCATATTTCAAATGAGAAATTCTGAAAAAAAAATCTTGATAACAATGATAATAATAATCATAATAATAATAATAATAATAATAATAATGATATCTATTATATAAATTTAAATAATAAAATGAGGTTTTCTTCAAAATTGATAATCATAATAATTGTTTTATGTGTGATTTGTTATTTTCTTAAAATGGTTTCATAAAATGAAAGAATGACCCCTGCTCCTGCTCCTGTGTAAATTAAATTATCCGGAACAAATTCATGGATATCTTCAACCCAATCAAAATTTCCGTTAGAAATTAGAAATATTCCATATTTAGCAACCGAAAAAACAAGAGGACTGTAGGTGTGATGTTGAGGCTCAAAATTAATGATGAAAGAAATGCCAAGAGGTAACAGCAGAAGATAAAAGAAAAGACATATCAGTGGACGCCAAAATCTATGCCAATCAATAAAAAAAGTAATGTCTGGGGCGTATAGTCCATAGCTATTTGTTTTTTCATCGAATAAACTTGGAATCGAGATGGTGGTAATCTTAAAAAGTTTATTAATTAATAATTAATAATTAATTAAATTGACTGATGATATAATAATGGATAATAAATGTCACTTATTTATAAACATCATTTATTTGTTAAAAATATCTTGATATACTAACCTCATAATTCCATTCAATTGCATGATAAATAAATACTAGAAATTCTATGAAAAAAATTATTTGTAAAAATGCTTGAGGGTTGGATAAATTCTGGATTTCAAATATTTAAAATAAATAATTAAACAAGGTTGAATAAAAACACCGCATATAATAAGAACAGCGAATTCATATATATATATATATATATATATATACAATTAGAAAATTTATGTGACGATCTTTTTATATAATGAATCGTATACTACTATATAATGAAGTTTTTGTCAAAACCAAAACTTCATTATATTGAGCGTCAACTATAATAAGAATAAATGATGATGGTCTACCGTTCTCAATTTAGGAATATAACTCTTGATCTTCTCAACATTTAAGGAAAAACTAAGATTAGTAGTGATGGGTTGGCCAACGATATGTGAAATTTCTTGATTCTCTTGGTTTTCTTGTTGGGAACTAGTTTCAGCCACATCTATTTCTTCAATTTCTGTTACTGATCGAATTGTTTCACTAATAATCATTTCCTATAATGAATATTATAGATGCAATAATTAACTGTCTATTCAAAACAACAATATAGTTTTTAATATTGCTTTTATTTGTTCACCTGTTTAATTTCGTTATCAACTGATTTTGAAGATTCGTCATCAGAGCTGGATCTTTTTAATATAAATGAATATAAAAAATTAAATGATTTTTATAAGAGCATATACACAGAATTTATTTTTTTTGAAAAAATAATATCTAACCTATCACCATTGGTAGAGTGCCTAGATCTTGTGTTAGTATTATTTAAGTTTCTTTGGCGACCAGAGCGACGTGGTGGAGCTTCGTTTTCTGATAACAGCTCTGGATTTCTGAGACCTAAATGAGTTCTTGATATTTTATTATTATTAGAACGTTAGACAAAAAAAAAGTAACAGTAAATAATACTGATAATAAAAAGTAATAAACTAATACTTGATTCTACTTTCAAGTTCGTTTCGTAATCCAGTGGTGCTTAATCCAAGATCTTGTGCGATTTCTGAACAAATAAACTGTTTCGTTATTGAAAAGTTCTCATTCACATTTACTATAATAAACTACAAGATTTATATATAAGCCCTAATTTCTTACAGATTCAAATACCTTTAAGCTCGTTTTTTTTCTTATTTTTCAAAGTGTTTAGTGTTAAGGACATCGTGTTAATAATAATTTAACTAGGTTTTGGAAAAAAAAAATACCAATTTTCATCAATTTCATCGCTTTCGTACCACATTTCAGAAATTGATATTCTGGTGTAACAATCTTAAATTTTGGGGAAATCACGTTTATTTAATATTCAAGTTTAAATAAAAATACATATAATTATAATAAATAAATAAATAAGTTAAATTATAAAATTTCATTTTTAAATTTTTTCTGAATATCCCCAATCACAAGCTCCATCCTCTTTAAGAATACCAGTACGATGATACAAAGTTCTTGCTCTAATATAAGGATCTAATTCTAATTGTGCCTGCCTCAAATGAATTTTCTTTTGATCTCTTTCTTTCTTTATTCTTTCGTTATCTGGATCATCGATCCATTGTTTAGTTAAATTTTCAAATTCAAGCTCCAATAATTTTCTTTTTTCTATTTTTTCTCTTTTTGTAGTTTCGTCTTTCATTCTATAGTTTTCATCCGGTTTTGGTGGTAAGTACTCGTATTTCCATTTATCTTTGCCACCCAATTCTTCGATTAAATGCGATTCAGATATAAAGGCCAAAATATCTTTATCCTCTTTTGTAAAACGAATTTTAGAGGCAACAACTGGATCTAAAAGAGGAGCAATTAACTTCCAAACTTGTCCGAATACCCATGGTGCTTTATGAATGATCAAAATGCCTAAACTTTCAGGATAATACGCTTCGAAACATTGAATCATAAATTTAACATACTGGAAATCCTATTCATATATAAAATTTTATTTAATAAAATATTTTTTTATTCACATAAATAATCAAATCAATCAAATCCAATTACCATATTTGATAAACTAAAATCTGTCATATTAAAAACAAGGCATCCAGTTTCTACAGGTGCTTGAATGAATAAACGAGTAGTCTCCATTACATAAATTGTAAATTTTTGAAGAACTTCCAGCGGTTGCTCATCTTTTTTATGATATTTCACATTTACATAACTAATTAAATAAATAATTTATAATATTTTGCTAATTAATTAATTCGGTTATTTTAATTAGTCATTTTATAAAATATGTGTGTATGTGTGCTGGTTTGTGTGTGTTGTTTGTAATATTTTAATAATAATAATAATAATAATAATAATAATAATAATAATAGTTACCAAATAGGCCTTCCATCTTTATCTGTTCCTCTGGAAAAACTTTTACCACTTGAAAATTGATTCATAAAATTTTTAACACCTTTACTCTCAAAATATTTACTCATTCCTTCTTCGCCTCCCTCTATTATATCTCTAACACCAAAACTCGACATCCAATTTATGGTCTTTGCAAACATTGATAATGACTTCTCGACATTCCATTTTCTTGCACGTAAAAAACGAAGAATCGTAACATCAGGATCATCGGCTGCTACGAAGCTCCATAATGTTTTTCTTAATTCTCCAGGCCCATAAGATTCTAAACTGGAAATAAGCTCAAAAAACTCGTTACTTTTGTCAGGATTTGGATGTTTAGTGTTGTATTCTTTTATTTTTTTTTTAAAGTTATTATTCCTAAAAGTTGAGTCAATAACTTCAACACATGACTGGTTGTTAAGATTGTTGGTTGATGAAGTTTTATCTAAATCATCAAGATCTTGTAAAAGAAATAAACAATACCAACATAATCTCAATAATGCGTTTTGATCTTTAGTTAAATTATTAACATGTCCCGTAATATAAGAATCCGGCTGTTCAGTACTTATAAAGGTTGAGTCACTCATAAATATGATTTAATTCTTTTATTAAATATACGCATTATACCAAATTTGGTAAAAAAATTTTAATATATCACAGGATATCAGGAAATGGCGGTGGGATTTAGGAAAGAGCATAGGGATTTAAAAAAATATTTGTAATGTTTTTTAATTAATGATAATAAGAATGTTTTTTTATTTAGAAATAATCAATAATAATAGTAGCAGACAGTTGCAGCAGGATACCGCAAACTTTATAGATAGGTCAGTGACAAAAATTCCTGTTTGTTATATGATTGATCCAGACCAAAATTACTTGACCCTAAGGTTTGAAATAATGTTAGAAAAAGAACATAATTTGACCCATAATATATACTAACATCAAAATTTTTGAAAATGTCTATTATAATAATAATAATTCACTGATTTTTATAATTTATAACATTTTAATATTTTTAATATAAAAGATTTACTATATATAAAGTATTGGATTTGTTTTTGAATGAGCACGTAAGAAAAATTTTGTTTCATAAAATTTTTGTTTCCCTAATAAATTGTTCAATATCGACCCTATTAAACGTAACTAACCCTTTTCAACGTGTACTAGTGATTGTTGCATTTTTTTAAATTTATAAATAATTTATAATCGCTGACAAAAAATTTAATTTATATATGAATTGATCCAGCTGCGGCAGTAACCTATCTATATATGGAGTTTTCGGGTCCTGCGTGATGGAAGGAAGATACGAGTTTAGTAATGGTGGTCGGAACTAACCCATAGTTTAGGCATTTAGGCAATTTTGGTTTAGTCCTGATTTCACTCATAAAAATTTGACTTCAGGCGAAAACCAAACGGATAATTAAACTGCTGCTGTTTAATTTCCGACAACAAGAGCGTTTTATTAAACAAAAAAAAAGAATTAATTTGTTTTAAATTATAAAAATGTTTATTATTATTATAAATAAAACTCCGAATGAATCAATGAAATTCGAACCGATTCGAGTCACCTAATTTTGATTCGAATATTAATATTAAATATATAATTTGATTCGAACTGATTCGAATCCATATAATCATTATCATTCACTAGTTTAGTGATGGTGACCGAAACTACATTTAGTGGACCAAAATTCCGAAATTAATTGGCCTAAACTTTGACGAAACTAATTTTAATTGGGAGTTTTTTAAAATAGAGTAGATGGATTTAGATACTTATTATATATGTATTGGACGAAACTACCTTTTTTTCAAAAACAGTTTCGGCCAACATCACTAAATAATGTCCTTTATCAATTAAAAAATTTAAAATATACGCAATCTTGGTTTAGCAATAGTTTGGGCAATTAGAAATTTTTTTCCAATAATCCGTTATTATTATATCCAAACTTTGTCACTACAGACTATACATATCAGCCGATTTGGTTTTTTGGGCCTTTTTTCAAACCTTATGTCTTATTGTGTCTCGATGTTAAACACGA